TTTGGCAACTAGAAAGCAAAATGGAATATTCTTCAACTAACCAGATCATCAGAGCAGCGACATTTCTGGTTAGAAAAAGAGTAACCTAACTACGAAATTTAAGAACTGGGTCCAACATTCACAATAGAACTACTGTTGTGGTTCCTGAAACATCCCTAATATTAACAGATGATTTTCTGACCTGGAATACGTTCCTATCACCAACTACAGCTCCATTTAAAAACTTGGTGTTGTCACGCGTGATGTTTGCCTGCAAAAATGCCATCCGGTCAATGCCAGTACCACTGAGGGTTGTTGGAGGTCCATCTGCACTAATTCCTCCACTTGGCAACACTCTTTGACCATGTGAAGAGATATGGCTACTTTCATCACGTGTTGTTATCTCTTCCATCACAATCCCATAGGTGAATTTGCTCTGACGGGTAAAATTCTGTTTCACACATAACATATATACACTCATTAGGAAATTATTTTATTTAATTTAAAGTTGTTCTCAAGCACCTAGATTTGGATGTAGAAAAGCAGTCACCTCTGTAATGTTAGCTTTCATGCCAGCCCGGTCAACCCATATAGGAGGGACTTCATCCACTCCTGGCCCGCCAGTAAAGACTGGACTCAGTTTCCGACTGTTGAAGCAACTTGCACGGAGAGTGCGATTTCGTGGATTGTATACACCATCCAAATATGGATGAACATACTCAAGCTTAAAAGACAGATCATCCTGAGAAGAGATCAAAACATTTTGAGTTATAAAATCTCACACAAGTTGGTAATGAATCATTCCTGAAAATAATTGAGAAAAAGGAAATGCATATGAAGGAGAAATTACCTGAGCTGAGAAGAAATTGCTTGTAGTTATAGAACCGAGAATGGAGCGATTCAGCCCTTTGATATTCCGATGTTCAAAGGAAACAGTTCCACCAGGCTGGAATGAGGCCTGAAGAGGAGGAATATGCCATTCAATTGGAATTTTCGCGCTGAAGACTCATGACCCAAATAACTACAAGCAAGTTCAAATTTCATAACTGGAAATACATACCAATGTGGGACGTCCTCCACGTCCAGGAACAATGCTCCACTCTGTACTGACTTCAGCTGATTTTGGCTCCAATTCTTTAAGCTTAATCTCAACAATTATGCCTCCCTCATTCTTCTCATCTGGCCTTGGATTTACTTCAATATTTGAGAACAAGGCTAAGGAGTTGATGTTCCTCAGAGCTTGTTTCCCAGCTTCAATGTTAAAAACTTGACCTTGTCGAAGCTATTGTAGCGAACTAAAATGTCATTATCTTAAAAAGTCCGCAATATAAAAATGGAGAAATTGCCAAACACTGCCATATAGCTATTTTGTACCATGGTGTAACGCAGCATAACACAAGGAGCATGAATTCTAGAGTTCCTATGTGTGATGATCATAGCAGAGATCTCACTGGCAAATCAATATCATCACCGATGCCGTGCATTAGAGATACAAGCTTAAAATTCCAATCCTACAATGAGTAAAAGAAATCTTTTCTGTTCGCATTTTACTAGTATTTAAAGACCTGATTCGATGTAATCATTTACTAACTCTTTTTGTTGTAGTTTCTACAGATGAACACAGAAAAACAAGAACTAACGTAAAACTACAGCCTAGGTTGTGCTCTAAACTCAATGAGCCATTAACATCTATATAGACGATCAATCAGCACTGAGCTGAACATATAACATACATAAGCATAAACAATAAACAAATTCAAAGGAGAAAAAAAGAATAAATAAATAAAGCCCAGAACAATTCACCTGTTTGGGCAACTCTCTCTTGACAACAGGAAGTTCTGTGTGCCCTTCAACAACATTCCCTAACTTATCCTGATACTGAATAATCAATTGAGTGATATCCCCTTCCACAACCTCACAAACCACTTCCTTAGTGTTCAAATTCCCAAAATTCACAACTTGAGCACAAGCATACCCTTCATCATGATACCATTTCTGCACTCTATCCCTAATCTTCTGCAACAACCGTGCACTAACCTTCCCTTGCTCCCTCAACATCTGCAAAATCTCCCTATGTACCTGTGTAGGCAACAAACAAGGCCTTGCCCTATCAATCCTCCTCCTATAATCCTTCTCCTGACTTCTGTAATACTCTAACTTCTCCTTATCAGTCATATCTGGATCCATTTCTATCGGTTTCGATTGCTGCATTAATCCAACGTTAATGCACCTAAACTTATCGGCTGATTGCCATGTGCTTTCAGTAAAAGAAATTGTGATCCCTATAGTTCCATCCGGATTTGTCTTCCCTTCCATATCCACTTTCTCGAACATTCCGCAAGTAGCTAAACTTTCAAGTTCCTTTTGTAACTGAGCTTTCGTGTAAACTCCGCCAGGACGGAGGGAAACCATCTCGAAAAAAGAGTCTTCCGTGCCTACAGTAGTCCATCTTCTCCGGTCGAAAAATAGAATTTCGGATAGTTTGTATTTTTTGAAACCGCTAAGCTTGTTTAATTGAACAACAATGTTGGCTGGTAAGCCATGTGAGTCCCAATCTTGCGATTGTGACTCATCGGCATTTGCCGGCGCTAAAGAAAACAGCTTCTTCCAGAACTCTCCTCCTGCTCCTCCGTCTCCACCCCCTCCTCCTCCGCCTCCACCACCGCCACCGCCGAACCAATTGCCTCCGCCGAAACAGTCTCCGCCTCCGCTGTCAATGACGGGAGTCAAGCGGAGGGAGATAGTGGCGACAGCCGCAGTGCCGGAGAAGGCGAGAACTTTAAGGAGGGAATTTTGGCGTTTTTGTTGTTTGGAGTTGGAGTGAGGTTTAGGGTTTTGTGGTGAAGGGAAAGAGGCAGGGGAGGATAGATCACATTTGATAGAGGGAGCGCGTGGATTGATGATGGCGCGTTGTTTCCTGGAGGAGGAGAAGATGGCTGTGTTGAGAGGAGTATTGGTAAGGAGGTTGCTGGATGAGGCGAAGGACATGGTTTTTGGAGGGGGGATAAAGAGGGAGAAGGAGTGACTGCTATCCAGTAGATAGCTCAGGTAAAGCGTTTACATGTGGTATTTCTGTAATTAAGATTATAGGGTTAGGTTGGAGGTAGAAACAAGGAAAAAGCTCAATTTAGTCTTTAACATATTACCTCGTTATCAATTGAGTATCAAAACTTCATATTTTGTTAATTTTATCTCCAATGCAATTGATTTTAGGGATAATTAAAACAAAAATGGTTCATTTTCTACTTGCTCCTTTAGTGCTTCCATCCAAAACATCAAAATAAACTCCAACTTACTCAGGACGATAAATTTAAACTAATCTATATCATCTGAAATAAATTTTGTTCGAAATAAAATATTTATGTGGAAGTGATTATGCAATCATGATCTAGTAATATTTCTCATGTTTTATATAATATTTATATATATGAAGTATTATGTAAAATTATTTATAGATATAAACTATTATGTGAAGATCGGAGAGAGAGTTGATTATTTACTTTTTTTATTTATCCCTAAAAAATATTATTTGAAGTTTTTTTATAACCAGATCATAGATATAGATTTCTATACTTGTACTTAGGTTATATTTTAGGACTCAACAATAATCAATATATAATCTTCCAAAAATGTTTATGTTGGTTTTGAGTCCATTTTCATTTGAATCCTAAAACTATGTAAATAAATTAAAAAAAGAAACAAAAGCATTAGCCTTTTAGGTCCGGTGAATTACCATTATAAGAAAGCCAATTGGTTTTCTTATCAACTGTTGTGAGAGAGTGCAGCAGGCAACAAACAAAAGAAAAGAGAGGAAGAGAGTTTTCAGCTGGGTGTTGTAAGAGAGAAACAAGAAAAATGTGTTAATCATTTTTATTGTCTAAATCAAATGATGATTTGTGATCAGATGATAATTTATTATTCGGTTTAAATAAAATTTTAATATGCTGTTTTTAAAGATAAGTTTTTTAATTTGAAGTACTGATTGTTGAAAATTTTACTTTTTTAATTAGTTTAAAAAATACTCATTTGTTGAGAGCTTTTTTTTTTTTTTCCCTCTCTCTAGGTTATTGTTATAGGAATCCATCTTAGAGGTAATGATATTGTTGTTATGATCCAAGTTAGTTGCTTAAAAATTTAATGTGTATTTTTTAATTGAATTGGAGAAAAAAAAATGTATCATATTATTTGATGTGGTACAAAAGATTGAATACACTACAGTCTCATGATGTTTTTCATTACTAGAATTTTTCATGTAAAAATTATTGTATTGATTGTACTTGTTTATTAATTTATTTTTTCTTTTATTAGTGTTAATTAGTTGATCCTGATTTTAATTATATAAAGAGAAATATTTTTCTTTTAAGATTTGTGATTTTTCAGTTCATACAAATGCTTTTTTCTAACATTTTTAAATATAAAATTTAAACTATGAAAAGAAAAAAACCAAAATAAGAAACATTCCTTATTATTCTTTTTTCATCTCTGCTCTAATATCGCCACTAAGAATTAATTCCTAACTAATTATGATCTCATAACTAAAATTTTATTTTATTAATAAAATTTTATAATTTCAGCATTATATACCATCAATCAATCAAAACTCAAATATAAACCAATCACAAAAACACTATTATAAATGAAAGCATATTTACTAGATTTTATAAATTACATTTGTATAACTGATTAGATTTTGAAAAATTAAAGTTTGATATCATATCATACCATAGGGGTTTAAGAGTGTTGATTACATTGATTTTTGAATTGTTAGTGGAAAAAAGAGAATTCGTACATAGATTTTCCCCTATTTCGAAAAAATGGGGTAAATTGAATGAAAAAGGAATTATAGGGGGGAGATTGATTCTCGCAACAAAACAAAGGGGGCAAAATTGGGTCTTTCTCATTTTGTAAAAAAAAAAAAGTCTTATTTTTCTCATTATCAAGTGAAAGGCAGCGGAGTCGGATTCCCTGTCACCTACAGGCTACTGCTGCTAGCTCGCTCGCAAAGGCAGAAGAAAACGAAAATGGGACGCGCAATCCTGTCTCACTTCCTCATCCTTTCAAACTCTTCTCCTCGCCTCTCCTCTTCTTCAATGTACTCTCTCTCTCTCTCTCTCTCCGCTCTATATTTCATGCAGTACTTTGTCGCCTCTTCACTCACTTATTCTCTCTGATTTCAGTGCAAAATTGAATGGTTTTTCGTCTAAAACCGTGCAAATTCGACAAAATTCAAAATACAGCAATGCTTTTCGCTGCTACTGCGATGTCTCGCACTCCCAACAAACTTCTCCAACCTGTGTGACTGAAATGTAATATATGTCACTCCAACTATCACTTTTCGTTTTGCTAATTCCCACTGCTCGGAGTTTTAAGCTCTTGAAATTATACTAATGACTTGACACTACTTTCTGTTGACAGGAAGAGGATAGTTTCTGGAGTGCAACCTACAGGGTCTATTCACCTAGGGAATTATCTTGGTGCCATTAAGAACTGGATTGCTCTTCAGGTTGTTTTTTGCTCCTATTTCATTTTTTTCTTTTCTTATTTTTGTAATTGACTCATTTTCTTTACATGATTTGCTACAACTATGGCAGAATACATACGACACTCTCTTCTTCATCGTAGACCTCCACGCGGTATGTAGTTCCCGAATTATATATTTAGAGCAATTGTGGCTTCATAGTTTCTATGTAGTGCCATTGAGTTATAGGAAGAATTTTGCTGCTTTAGTTGATGTATAAAATTAGGAAAATTTGGTTAGATTTTCCTACATTGTTTCAATCATGTCTGTTCATCATTCGCTATAATAAAATTTTGAATTTCATTGCTTAGCCTTGCTGTTTTTCGTAATGTTAGGAGTTCTGCACTTATACATCAAATTCCCTTGCCTTCTCAACACCCGAATTTGTGGTGTTGAGATCTTTTATTTTGGAAGAATTAAAGAGTTTAATACCATCCAAAACCCGCATATCTCTTTCCCGTTCTTGAAAAAGATAAAGTTTCCTATCAAGTTTTAAAGTTTCATTCCCTTCTCTTTTCTTCATAACCCTCTGATCCTAACACAGTGTTAACTTGGTCAAACCAAATATTCCCTTTTCTTTTTCCCAATTAAGATTTTGGGGAAAAAAGGTAGAAAGTGTTTTTGCTGCTCCCTGATTTATCATCTGGATGTTCCTTTTTTTTTCCCCCTTTTTGTCAAGGAGTGAGTGGGGTTGATTGATTGATATTACTGCTTTCTCATGCCCCTGGAATTAAGGTTTCAACTTCATAGATGATGGACCTTTTCCACAAATCCATTTATATGAGGACTCTTGCCAAGGATCTGTCTTTATGCTGAATCCATAACTAAGTTAAACAATATCAGTGCCAGACAGAATGGGGCACCCAACTGACCTGTTTTAAGCAAAAATTCAAGCTAGATGCTTATTTATTAAAAGCTCCATAATGAGAATTCTGATGCATCCATGACTCTTTTTTAGAAACTTTGTGAAAAGTGGGAGTCTAATGTATCATGTTCATGTACACTTCTGGCTTGAAAACTATGAACATGTTCTTTTACTTAAGTGGGGGTAGAGATGTGAGTTCTAACTTGATTTTCCTTTTTTATGCCATGATTCTTTTTTGGGGGGGGGGGGGGGGTTGGCGTGTTGTGGGTGGGGGGACTATATGTTCTTGATCTGTTAAATTTGACAGCATTTTTTCCTTCTCATACAACATTTGGGCAATTTATAACTGCTGCAGACTTCTGTTAAACTTCCAGATTACACTACCATACGATACGCGAGAATTGTTTAAGGCGACAAGGGATACTGCAGCACTTTATTTGGCTTGTGGTGTAGACACTTCAAAGGTCTTACTATTGATCCTTGAAATTGCTGCTTATTCAGTAGTTTGAGTAGATATTTGGCATTATTGTTTATTAAATTAGTTTGATTACTCTATTACATGCAGGCTTCTGTATTTGTACAGTCTCATGTTCGTGCACATGTAGAGCTTATGTGGCTTTTAAGTTCTGCTACACCGATTGGTTGGCTTAACAGAATGATCCAGTTTAAAGAGAAATCTCGTAAGGCGGTGGGTGTATTAACACTTGATGTCCTATTGCTTGAGTAGCTATTCACTTTTGCATTCACTTTCAGTTCTACAGAGTCTATTTTTTTTGTTATTCCAGTATGTGTATCTTATCAATGACATTTGTATTTTCATGCATAAGAAACAGGTTGATGTGCAAGCAGTTCTGTCCAACCTGTAAACATATTTTAAAACTGACAGCAGAATTGAATAGATAACCTGTTTTCTTCAAGTAGCAAAAAAAAATAAAATAATAATAATAATAATAAGAAGAAGAAGTCAATCTAGCATAAAGAAAAGTGTTCTGGCAATATCCAAGCATCCTTTCTTTTGAAGAACACAAAACATCTAGTTTTTGTTTACTTGAAGAAGGCAAAGGACCATATTTTGTTTTTTCATATATCATCTCAAAGCATGCGTACTTGCATTCTGTATTACCATAGAAAAATAATTATCATTACTAGCCATCTTTAGTGCCGATGCTCTTTACATTTTATGTCAGGAGATGGAAGGTCTTCATAGCAGATGTCACACATTTCTCTTACTTTATGCTATTGTTATAATCTTTTCTGTGCTTTAAACTAGCTGTATATCTTGGGTTTTTTCCTCTGCAGGGGGATGAAAATGTCGGGGTTGCTCTTTTGACTTATCCAGTTCTTATGGCTTCTGATATTCTTTTGTATCAGGTGGTTTTCAAACAAGCAGTTATTTTGTGAAACTTTTATCTTTGAGAAGTTTTATATCAATGTCTGGATCCTTCAGTAATTAATTGCCACAGATAATGAGAAAAGCAGATGGTTGAGGAACTTTCTGATGCACAATGAGTGTGATAATGTTTCATCAGGATTAGTTCTTGATTATCTCATTCTCTTCTTCTTATTTACCTTTTATTGATGTAAAAATAATAATCAACCTGAATGCAAAATCCTTATAAATTGCAGCATGCTTCTGCAGTCTGATTTTGTCCCAGTTGGTGAGGATCAGAAGCAACATTTGGAGTTGACCCGTGAACTGGCTGAAAGAGTTAATAATTTATATGGAGGAAGGAAGTGGAAAAAATTGGGAGGGTAAGAAATTAAATCTCTATTTGGCACTACAATATATATATATATATTTAAAGGCTATAGCCTATACGTTTTCATTTCTTGGCTACTTTTGGTTCTCTATTGAGATTTTTTTATTCTGACCACAGGCGAGGAGGTGCTATCTTTAAGGTTGATACTTGGTTCTCTTTCTTGATATCTGATTATCTTACATATCATGATGAAATAACATGTGATGTGATGATTTTACCTTAATAATTTTCCTTATGTAGGTCCCCGAACCACTTATACCACCAGCTGGAGCCCGAGTTATGTCTCTAACTGATGGTCTTTCCAAGGTGTTCTACTTAATCTTAATTCTTGGTTTTGTAGTTTTAACTTGCGGGCTCGAGATATTTATCTTAGCATCAATAAAGGCACTGAATACAAACTTGATTTGTGAGCAGAACGCAATTGATTTCTTAGGGGTGACTTTCTTCTGCTTCCCTATGTTTACTGTTTCTTTTTGACTGTCATCATCTAAAGCCAAATCCATGCAAGGCCTGAATTTACAAAACCCACAGCTAGAAGAGAAAGGGGTGCAAATGCACTTTGAGCCACATTACTACTACCCAAATTCGCCATTGCTCGTTTACCAATTAATGGCTTTCATCCTTTGGAAGAAGTGTCTTAACAATTTATTAATAATCATTTTATGTTGGTGCCCTGATTTTCTTTTACACTGTCAAAGTTGTCCTTTGGTTTCTGCCATTATAGAACAAGATCATTATTCGGCATTTAATTTTCTAATACAGGCAGCAGTTTAGGTTCGGACCATCATAGGCGGAAATGCTGCAAGTTAATGCTGCAAGTTAACTAAACAATCAACCAATAAACTCTTTTTCTCTTGTTCGTAGAAGAGTTTGTACACTTACTGACATTTTCCTATGGTTCAATGTTATAGATGTCGAAGTCTGCACCTTCTGACCAGTCGCGAATCAATCTTCTTGATCCAAAAGATGTGAGTTGAGTCAGTGTTTTACTTACATGTATTTTGCACTGAACAGTGTGACATTAAATATAATGGACGATTGTTACTGTAAACGCAATAAGGCGTGATCATAATCTCTTCGAGCACTCAAGTGATGGTTGACATTTTTCTGTGGTGTGGAAATGAAGAATTTTAGCATCTTGATTCTGCTAAATTCAATAACTAAGTAGCAGGACTTGGATTTCATAAACTTTGCATTATCATTAAATCTTGAAAGTGTGGGAGATATATAACAATCTCTATCATTTTGCTCTTTAAGTCGACTTTTAAAACTGGCTTTCCATAAAATTTGCTTTCTCATTAAATCTCGAGGTATGATGGGCAATATTTTGATTATGGTTCTGTTAATTTCAGGCTTATAAATTTTGCAACTCTTATTGGAAAAAGTGATAGTGACTCAACTTCTCCTTTTGTCTTGTAGGTAATAGCAAACAAGATCAAACGTTGCAAAACTGATTCATTTTCAGGGTTAATTCCTAATCCACCAGAAAAATCGTGATAGTTTTTTTATCCCTCTTTTCCGTATCTTTTGATTCAAGAATACGTTCTAGCACATAGTATCTTAATGTCTCTCTTATACTGTGCTTTTCCTTTTGCAATTCATGCAGCCTGGAATTTGACAATCCTGAAAGGCCTGAATGCAACAACCTTCTTTCGGTGTATCAGCTCGTTTCGGGCAGGACAAAAGAGGTATTGTAATTCACATCTTGTTTGCTTTGATTGATTACCTTGCTTATGCCTGTTTGTAATTATCTGCTTTGTGTTTTATGTTTATTTTTTTCCTTTAATCTTGGGATAGAAGACTGTGGGCAACCCAGTTTTGAGGAAATGATTCATCTTGTAATTATGGCCATTTGTGAGGTCTTATGATATTCCACTCTGACCTTGTCTGCTGAACACTTATTGTAGGATGTAACAAAGGAATGCCAGGGTTTGAATTGGGGCTCATTCAAACCTCTCCTAACAGATGCCTTGATTGAACATCTACATCCCATCCAGGTTTCTACCTCTATATAAGCCTCTCCCTCTTTCACTAGGGTCAAGCACAGTTAAAAGATGCCATGCTTAGCTGCATAAATTGTCTTAGAAACCAAAGAGATTACTGTTATGTGATTGTAAATGTGTGCCAGTACCAGTGCAACATCAATGAAATTCTCTACCTTTCCAGGTTCGGTATGAGGAAATAATTTCTGACTCAGCTTATCTCGATAGTGTTTTGGAAGAAGGTGCCAGTAAAGCTGCAGAGATTGCAGATGCCACTCTAAAAAATGTATACCAAGCAATGGGATTCCTGCAGAGATAAGCAAGCTTAGAGTGGGATAAGCAAGCTTTAAGATTTCTCAACGGCTGAAATCTTAAAATAAACTTCCTTTGCCCGGCATTACATGGAGCGGCACCATGAGCATGAATTTGGTGAGAATAATTCTTGATTTAGCTATTCTTCTTAACAAAGAAATCTTTGATTGGATAAAAGGTTGCTTTGAATATCCATTATAAACAGTTTCCAGAATTTAAAAAATGTTTCTGTTTAATCTTGCTTTTGGGCCACTGACGTGGTAAAAGTCCACATTTTGTGCTTTATCCATCGAGAAAATTACCTTTAATTGTTCTTGCAGTGGACCAAACTGACAGAAAATTAAATGGTTCAGGGAGTAGATTGGACATTATGAAAGCACACTAGTGAAATCAGCTAAAACATCTAGGCTATTCCTTTTTTATCGAACTTTCACATGTATTATTAATATCTTCCCAGGAATTGTCTCTGCCGAATTGTGATCAGATCAAACTGTATAGAAAACTTTTGATGGTTTTAATATTTGCATTATTGTCAAAACGTGAACTTAGTTCAACTACCAATTGGTCGGTGAATCTAACACTTGTACATCTGGCAGGTCCCTAAGAAGAATGCTGGTGTAGATTTTTGTCCTCCGATTGATTAAAGACTCAAATTCGTTGATTGTCTTTCTTCTCAAATTCAAGCGGATGTCATTGCCCTTGTATCTTTAACTAATTCAATGAACACAGAATTGATTACAACAATGGATTTTTAAACTAAGAAATACTCAGGTTCTTTTTTTTTTTTTTTTTTTTACAAAGATATACTTGAACTTAAGATCTCGTAAATGGAGGAGGGCATGAGTGTCCATTAAACTACAGCTAGGAATGGCCATCCCCACCCTACTCCTGACCCGCGGGTATCGGTGCCTTGTTTAATTTTTTGTGTTCGTCCCGCTCCATGCTATGTTATATTATTTTGTATCAAATTTTAAACTATAACAAAAATATAATAATATAATTAAAAAAGATAATAATTTAATATCATATTCAACTATAATTTTACTACACAACTTGTAATTATTAAATTGTTTTCAATTGGATAAATAATATACTTAATTAAGTTTATGAAATATAATAAATATAATTAAAAAATATAAAATTTTGCATGTCTTTATTACTTAAAGATTATAAAAAATCATTTATTATATTGAAGACTAATTTTTAATCTCAAAGTTTATATATATACATATTGAGTATAATTGTAATTTTCAGATAAAAGTGCGGAGTGGGGCGAGGAATTGTAGGACGGGCGGAGCAAGCAAATACTATCTCCGTTCTATCTCCGTTTAAATTCATTGCGGAATGGGTTGTCTTGCCTCGTTCCCCAATCAATTCGAGTATTCCTCCAGTTGACTGGGGTGGGAAGGATGGGGTTTGTTGGAACAGAGCAAATTGCCATCTCTAACCACAGCCTCATTGGCATAGATATTACTGCTTATTAGCATATCCTGAAGCATTTACAAATTTCTACAGGTGTTCCCGTGTTTAGGCGATAAATTTCTCCAAGCTGAATAAAAAACAAGAAAAAAACCTTTATCTTGCTACATGCTTCGGATATTTTTTCTTTTGCTTTAGAAAACAACAATAAAACACTGTTAAAAAGGAAAGTAGGGAGGAGGGTTGAGGTTTGACAGAAGACTGAGTCTTTCATCCTTCATGACTTAAATTTACAGTATCTAATTTGGACGGACTGATTTTGTGATTTCATATATTATTTAATAGATTTTTGCATTGCTGTGGAGAACTGGTGGGGAAACCCAGCGAAAAATCTTTCCCAATTTCCTTAGCTCAACGCAATCAGCTACCCCAGACACCCTTTGAGTTAATATCCACTCTCTCTCTCTCTCAGGTCCTTTTCACCTTTTCTTCCTCTTCGCGACCGTTCTTAATAACAAACAAAGTGTAGTGAGTTTTGCACCTGTATAACTCTCCTCTTCCCAGGTTTTACCACTGGGGTTTACTGAAAGAAAGAGTGGGGCTCGAAAATACGAAAAGAAAGTAAAAATGAGGGATTGGAGAATAGAAAGAAAAAACTGGAGGGACTAAAAAAGCAAAAGTTGAAGTAAAGCGAAAACGTCGTTGTTAATCTTCTTATCAAGAAAGGCAAGATGGGGATTCTCGAAAAAACTAGTACCGCTAAAAATGACTTCGTTGTTTTCAGCAGCAAATCCATTGCCATTGGCACCACCATCAACCCCAACAATCAGTTACTCTCAGACACATCAATGGTGTACTTGTAGAACTACAAACCCCTTCTTCTTTCCTTTTCCTTATCCACTTACTTATTCCCGTCTTACTCAAAAACCAAACGCTCATGCTACTCTCCAGGGTTCGTCTTCTTCTTCTGATTCTAATAAAGAACAGCAACAACAAGAAGGAGAAGAAGAAGAAGAGTATCAAGTATTGACAGCAGTTAGAAGTCAGTACAATGACATTGTGATCGTTGACACTCCTAAAACCAGGATGCTACTCCTCGACTCCACTCGTAATTCCCTCCTCACCTTTCTTGTTTTTTGGGGTGTTTTTCTTGTTCTTTAATGTATGGCGATCATTATACAGATCATGTTCATAGCGTTCTTTATAAGGATGGTCAGAAATGGACTCGTTCATATTGGGTATGTATGTCAACCTTCCTTCCTTTTTTTTATTTGTTATTTAATCAAGTAATTCATGTCTAATCTATTGCATAATTTGCTGTCTCCCTTTGTTTGTCCGTTTTGATCGTGTTTATTGCGAACAGTGAAAAATAAACTATACATCGTTTTTATTTTTGCCTAATTCATCCTTCGTTATGCAGGATGAATTTGCTACTTTGCCGGCCATTATTCCAGAAGGTCCCGTTGCAATATTTGGCCTGGTAGTTAATTTCATCTCCCTGTAGCGTGTTTATCTTCTTGAATCTATTTATCGAATTAATGAGTTCGCATCTAAAGTGAACTTTCTGATTGTCCAGGGTGGTGGTACAGCTGCACATTTGATGCTTCATGTGTGGCCTTCATTGCAGCTTGAAGGTTGGGAGATTGATGAAATTGTAAGGACGTTGATTATCTTTGTGTAATCGAATCGTTTAAATTTGAGTGCTAATTTTTTCCTTTACATCACAATTTGCCTTTCCCTTGTTAAACATGGCCCCTAAAACGTTTTCCCTTGTTAACATTTTTTTTCATTTACTTCTGTTGGACTATCGGTCACTTTGTTCTCATGTATGTTTTGAACTTTTGCTTATTAACAAAAAACACTAAAGTAAATGATCGGTTACTACTATTTGAAATATTGTTTACCCAAATTCATTCATACTATTCACTAAGACTCAATGCACTATTCTTTTCATTGTATAGTGGTATTTATATAGTTTTCAAATATTTTAAATACATTTATTTTGAATTTTTTTTGGCATTACACTTTAATCTTTTTTTTGAAATATTGTTTTTTTAGTCCGTAAGTATTTTTTTGTTTCATTTTGGTCCCTCTTTTGTTTTATTTTGATAACCTCGGTCCATTCTTTTTTTCTGTTTTTTTAATTAAAAATTTGAAGGTAAAAAAAATTTAGAAAAAACAATTTACAAAATAAGTTTTTAGTTAAAAATCCATCGATTTTGATATTTTTTATACTATTATAATTTTTTTAGTTTATTGATAGAGATAAATAAATAATATTTTTTTATTAAAAATTTATGAAAAATATAAAGAATAATCAGTCAAATACAAAATTTTAATTAAAAAATTATAAAATTTAACGAATTTTTATTCAGTTTTGATTTGATACATTTTGGTATATTTACAATATAACATGGAGCATCAAACTAAAATGATTTTTTTAAAATAATTTTATGTGTTCTATCCTATTTGCAGTGTAGTATGGATAAAAAAACTAGTTATCACTATAAGTAGATGACATAGGGAGTTTTCTACTGTTGTAAATATAGTTAGAGAATATAGGAAGTTTTTTATGATGCAGCATTGAGATATAGGGCCAAGTCAAAGTCAGTAAGTGCTGAGTTGCTTGTGTTGACACTAATGCCTATGTTCTCAAAGAGCAGCTTGAGTTATCTTCTTAGTTCTTACTATGTGTCATTAAGAAATTAAAAAAAAAAATCATTGTAAATTCATGGATTAATCTGAAGAGCTGCAAATTATAACTCGTACCAAACACCTTCAAGCAGTAGGCTCATTTATTGCCAAATTATGAACTATGGAAACTTTCTGTTTTTGAAATTTTTTTCTGGATTTCTGTTGTCTGCAGAAAATATTGTCAGCCAAATTTTTCTACCTTGGAGTGGCTTCTTTTCCTGCAGATTATTTTCTGAAAAAAAATAATAAAAAATTAGGCTAATTGGGAGTGTTATTATTCAATGATGTTTGCAGTAGCAAAACGCTTTGGTCCTTGTCCATGCAATACTGATTGCTTCCTTACTGAAATGGATGTTTTTTCTTTTTTAGTTGATCAATAAAGCAAGAGATTATTTTGGGCTATCGGATCTTGAGAAGCATACTCAAGCTGGTGGCATACTTCATGTTGTTGTTGGAGATGCCCTATGCCCCTTGGAAGATGACTGTAGAAAATATGCTGGTGAGGAGGATAATGACCTGTCTATTTTGGTTTAGAGCACGCATGCAGGATTTGCTCATTTTCTGATTCTATCTTTATGGATGTTTGGTCAATAGTATGAGTAATTAGACTTCCTTTCAAGCAAGCCCCCTTGGGGCAACCATGGGGTAGGTTTTGGGAAGTGGAGACAGGGATTGGTGTATGGTTGCTGTAGCAAGCATGAGGGGTGGGTGCCTGACCTGTCATCCCTGAATAACATTCTTTTCAGCTAAAGCTCGATGTGTAGCTTTTCTTTTTACTAGATCTACATGCATCATAGTTAATACTTTTTGCCATTAAGACTACACTAATTATGTAATTCACTATTGTTCTGTAAATTTTTTGTTTGTATTGTTTGCTTTGTTCAAGTTTTAGGGTTTTTCCTCTTTTCACTAATATATGGTATCAATATTTTTTTTCAGGCATTGTCATTGACCTTTTCTATGGGGGGGCGATTTTGCCACAGTTACAAGAGGTTTGTTCCTTTGTTTGTTTCTTATGCTATTAGTGGCTAGTTTTGCAGCTTGGTACGTGATTCATTAAGTTTAGTTCCCTGTCAAATTATCACTCTTAGTGAAGGCATGGTCTAATACAAGCAAAAAGTTTTATGATACTTTAATGAGTAGCTCTCTAGTCTCTACTGCCTTAAATTTGGTTTGTAAGAAGCAATAAAAGCACTTGTAAGCAGGAACTTTTACGTACATATAAATTTATAAGGAATTTAGAATAAAATTTTTTACCTTATCTTAGAAAAACATATCCATGTTTGGTGGTATAAGTTTATGGCACTGCAAGAGACAAGAAGAAGCCCATAGAGAGTGAGATTTTAATGGATTTGTAAGGTGGACATCAACTAGTTAATGCCTTAAGTTTTTTTCAGGATCATGTTGAATCACAGGCTTGACCAAATGTTGATTGCTAGCACTTGCTTTCTCCTTTCCAGGGCATGAAAATTGTTGCTTGCTTTGAGCAAGAATAAAAAGATCAATGAATTTCTCTATAGCTGCATGTTTAACTTCTTAAGAACAAGTACCACTGGAGTCCCTTTTAATCACTCCAGAACAGGAATCGTGCCCAAGAATTTTAAAACAAACAACTTTAGTTGAGAACCATTGAGAAGACATTGAGGGAACTGAGAGAGAAATTTAAAGGGTAGTGGCGGAACTTTTTGCATGAGTAGAAGGTATATGTATGTTTGACTGAAAGTTGGAAGCATTGGCCATGAGGTAGCAGGGAGCACCAATGGTCTGTTGTGAATCTTATCCATCGGGAAATAGGAAGGTTAAATTGTTTTAAGTTTCCATATTGAAAGAGGATGCTAACCTCAGCTTTGAAGTGTTTCTGCCATAATGTGAAAGAACTTCCAAAAGCGTAATTCCAGGGCTTCATGGACTGTTTGGTTACAATTAATGGTGCACTTTCACAAGCAAAGATCTTTAGTCCATTAATATGCTTCTACATATTATCACTGAGTGCAAGTTAGAGGTTGTAACCCTCCTTAGGTTGGGATATGGTACTATGGGTTTTATAATTCATATGTGAGTTTTCTTTTGGAACATAAAACTATATATCCCTTGATCTTGCTGCAATTTTTCTCCTTTGGCTGTGTTTATGTTTTACAGTTTTACTCTAAATTCAGTAACTGTGTTTGACAGGTAGAAACTTGGTTGAAACTGAAGGATAGATTGATACCCAATGGTCGCTTTATGGTGAACTGTGGAGGCATTGAAGAATTAGATTCTATAAACGGAAGAATCAATCCTAAATCAGTTGATGATGCTTGGGTTGAAAATCCGACCATCAAGGTTTTGTGTGAAGCATTTCCTGGACAAGTATGGCATTTACGTTGCTAACATTTGAAACATAGCAATTTTTCTGATTCATCATATTGCACTGAAGATAGAGCCAGGAATTTTTCATTTTGTTTTGTCTTTTGTTTTGGTAGTGGTCGTGGGAGTGAGGGTTGCATTCCTACCTTGAAATGAAGTACAAACAGTTGGGACTTCAAAAACAAGACCAGTAGTTACTAGTTAGTGTAATTACATAAATCTCAAGTTTTTGAATATAATTTATCCTTCAGTAACATTAAACCTTCCAACACATGCCCGCTTTTTAAAAATGGTTTGAAAACCTGTCAACATATTGGAACCTTTTCGAAATATTTTTTGTTTTTCCACATTTGGCTTATGGAGCTACTGCTTGTGCTTAGCAGAGAGCTATGTTTTCTTCTCTGATTTGAACATTCAAAGAAAGTAACTTTTCTGTTCTCCCAAGTCCAAACATTGCAAAAAAAACTGGGCTGTTTGAACTATCTGTGATGTCATTGTTGGCCTTTGAATGAGTTAAAAAGCACTATTTAATTTAGAATTGAAAATTGGACTAGCAAGAAACTATTTTCAAGCTGAATTTCCCATGTAAATAGCTGAAGGATACATCTTTAAGATTGCTTGTCCAGTAATTAAACAATATGTAGAATCAATTATGGTATGTTTAAATGCATGCCTATCCTATCATGAACAGGCGTTTGCCAAATTAATGTTCTTGAAGGCAACGATAAGCTTACATTTTGATTGTAATTTGATTGCTCAGTTAAGCTGGAAGAAAAAGCCAGAGAGTGAAGGTGCAAATTATCTTGCACTGTCAGGACCTTTGCCTGATTTGACCTCATGGTCTGCTATGGTCCCAGATCATTTGAGTGCAACTGTTAGCAAATGGAGGCCTTGCGGCTCTTTTCATTGATGGAGATTTTCGGCTTAGAAGGTTATATTGCAGCCAAACCAGTTCGTTGATAAACTATACAGTCAAATGTGAACACCTCTCATTCAGTCATTCAAATGAAACATTTTAAGCTAAACATGAGTGTACCAAATAGAATTCTGTGATATTTTAACACAAATTTTAGCATTTTTTTTCCTCCATTTATCTTTTACTTCTCTTCAATCAACTAGCATCTTACAGTAAGTAGATGTAGCGCCATTGTGATTCGTATTGTGGAGAATCTCTGGATGGTTTCTTATGGAGATATTGCGCCCAGAATCTTTTATATCAAACACTAGTTGGCGAAAGATTTCTTAAATGCTTGTTCTTTATTGCCCTGCTATATTGCAATTTCAATAATTGTATCAAGCTCATTCCCTGTTCAACTTTTTTTTTCTCTCAACTAGATATTTCTTTGATCAAGAAATTTCTCTTATCCACACGGGAGCAAATTTTCTTAGCTATCCATTGATATTTAGTAGAAGGGCATATCTTGTTTTAAGCCTTATTTTTGCAGAACAATTCTTCATCATGTAGTTTGATTTGTTTTATAAAATTTTCAGTGTTTGTGTTTCCCTGCCCTATGGTGCTCAAGGTTTGTCGTTAGTTTTCCTCCGTTATTGTTCACCTCTGTTGATTGCTATAGCATATGAGGATCAATTAACTGAGACATCCTAGTATGTGTTTATTCATAATTCCCAAAAGAATATTCTCATTGTAGTCCAGTTTCGTTTCAGGCAGGTAAATTTCAGACGTGCAAAGTTTTCAGGATATTTTAAACAGATTATACACGACCAAAACATTGCTGAACTCATCCATACTTGGAAAGGGAGCAGGGTCAGTTTTTCATCTACTCATTCCATTGTCCATGTATTCTGGCCTACGTCCTTCTCTCAGATAAAAATCCTACGTTTAATCCGTGGTCTATTTGCCGGTTAGTTTGGAAGGAAAGAGGGATATCCAGTCTGGAACATGGCACTTTTGTGAATTTTCCTGCACAAGGTTAAAACGGCATCCTGGGATCTGTCCTTTACTGGCAAGTGGCAAGCCATTGCGATTCCAGGAGGCTATTTCAACTCATTTACAGTTCTCTTTTGAGTCTTTTTTTCCGTGCATTCACTTGACAAGCATCTGTTTCTTCGTGGAATGTCAATTCTGCTCTCAGACAATAATCACTGAGCTATTATTAAAAGGCAGATTCGATCCTGTAAAATTCCTATCTGAAAGCGAGATTGCTTATGCATTAGATTCTTTTCTCACAGGCTTCGTCAATTTTTGTTTAGAGGCCTGAATTATAGAGAATGCAATGTAGCCGGAATGCTTCTTCTGCGTTGACATCAGCAACCTAGGCAAACTAGAGAGATTTTCATTGCAGTACAACAGGCAAAACACCATCTTAACCAAAAGGCTTAGACAGTATGGTACAACTGTAAATTACAACAGACTGTCCTGTATAAAAGACCAGGATCGAGCTCTGTTCAATCTAATCTGCCATTCCTCTCAAAGCTAACTCCTACCAAAAACACAAATTACTGTACAAAGCAAATCCTGAGATACAACCAGAGCATCATCAGAACATGCATCACTCCAGAAAAAAAAATCAGATCCTCTGATAAAGGGCAGGACCAGATTTTAAGCATGCACACCATTGCAATTGCTGTATATACCATCTGCTGGTATTTTTGCAAACTTGGTTGCATTTCCATTTTGGTAGAGGCTTATTTTTTTGGCCATTCCATTGGGAATCTTGTGAGCATGTAAGAGAGAATCTAGCTGGCCACATGCCGCTGCTATCAGGCCTGCAATTTGAAAGGTTGATTATCAAATGTCAATATCAGATATTAGAAATATTAAACGTCCAATCTAGAAACCAGTTAAGTTTGCGAAAAGATAAAAAAAAAAAAAAAAAAAACTAGTCTTTTGGTTGACGATGACAAAAAATATTACTCGTGCAATATGGAGGAGAGTGAGAGAGGTACCTAAGAATAGTGCAGAAGGATTCCCTGGTCTTGATTTAAATTCAGGGTGGAATTGAACACCAACGAAGTAAGGATGATTAGGCAGCTCAACTATCTGTTACATCAATGAGCCAAATGAACTTAGAATAACTGTATAGAACTATTGATCCTTGCGCAATTTGAGAAATGAAAAAACAGAAGTCTGCAAGTCCAAAACCCCATTACCTGCATGCGTCGACCAGTTTCATCCTTGCCAGTGAATAAGAGCCCAGCATCTTCCAGGTGTGATACCATATCAGGATTCACCTGCATAAATAAGACTTTCTATTATCTCGTGTGACTATCTACTTACATGGAAAAGATATGCAATCTTGAGTTCTTGACACCCATACCTCATATCTATGCCGATGTCTCTCATCAACAAAGCCTCTATTACCATACCTGACAGAATCCAGAATTCAGGGTTTAGCCAATCTCAGACATTTACAAGTAAATAGTACTGATCTACTTGTTGAATACATATTTCAGGTTAGTTTATTAACAGATTTTACATCATCAAAATTTATTATTTACACGAATATAGGAACCACCATATAAATATCTATTTTCAAGCCACTCAATTACTTACAATTTTGCTGATTTGCAGTCCATGAGTTGGAAATAAGTCCTCCTTGACCCAAGACGCATGGTGCCCCCAAAGTGGGTTTTTGAGCCCTGTTGATAAGGTAAAATGTCAGATTAAATTGGAAAATGAGACAGCCAGTTAGCACTGTAGTTCAAAATTGCGGGGACAATATAAACCTCAGGCATAAATATAACGCAGGGACTCTTGGTGTCTGGATCAAACTCTGTGCTGTTAGCATCTTGCAGACCAAGGATTGATCGTGCAAAATCAATAACTGCAATTTGCATTCCCAGACAGATTCCAAGGAATGGAATTCTGTTCTCTCGAGCATACTTGGCTGCAAGAATTTTTCCTTCCACGCCTCTGTCACCAAATCCGCCTGGAACAAGAACACCATCTGCACCCTGAAGACAATAGGCTAGTCAGATGGCTATGAAAGAAAGTTATCAGAACTTTGAGGGCTGCTATTACAAGTGAAAATCAGCTTTAAGCATACACAAACCTTTAACAACTTCCATGCAGCCTTATAAGCATCGGGATTCTGCATGGGGAGCATTCAAGTCAAGAGGTGAAACAAGGTATGAGGATTAGTCTATATATTATTCAGTACTCCGAATTACTAACCTCGTTTGCAGTTTCATCCTCAAGATCGCTAGCTGGAACCCAATCCACAACAAGTTTCTTGCGGAGAGAAACAGATGCATGCAAAAGAGCCTGCCAACAGTAAAATAACTTTTATCACCAGGAAAAACACCATAATTCTGTCTTTATCATGGATATAATTAAACGCATATTAAATTTGCACAAAACTTCAAGCTGCACGACTCAATAACTACAAATTTTGATAATTGTGAAGTGATGAATGATGATAAGTTAATTTCACGACAGATAAGAACTAAAATTATTGTAGAATATATGTCTCGCATTTCTAGCACCTCTTTTAAAAAATTCAACTGAAGTTTACATACATGAAGAAACAAATATTGTAAAACTACGACTCCATCACATGAACACGTGAAACTTCCCACAGAAACAATAATTTTTAAGCTTTAAAAAAGTAGTGATAGATAAGTGAACCTTTAATAAAGAAAGGTAGGAATCTGAAACCCCTGTATACTTCCCAACAATGGCAATTCGAACCTGCAATTTGTGGTTTAAATACATAAATCTCAGGTAGAAATGGCAACAGTTGCAAAATATGTGAATTGAATTTGCTAAGACCCACTGGTTCAAGCAACATATCACAGAGTTCAGCCCTAGAGGTCCATTCCTTCAAATTAGGCTCCCTAGCAACACTGCACGTTACAAGACAATAATTTAAGGATGCCAGATATCACACAATGCATCGCAGAGGGAGGGAAATCAATTATATGTGGGATCAGTAGACAAACCCAAGAAGATTCAGCACTCCCAAAATTGCTTCATGAGCCTTCTGCTCCTAATTGAGAAGAAACACACAATAGTTGTAAGAATTAGAAGCCAAGCAGTGAAATGAAAGTCAAAATTAGTGCTACACGTGTACTCACTCTTAAAAGCAAAGGAAGGTGCCAGATGTTGGGAACATCATAAAGAGTGATGATAGATTCTTCCTGAAAAACATGTGGTCTCAATAATCTTTCAAAGTAGATAAGTAAATATTCAAGTAACAAGCATGAAAAGGTTAATCCTTTTAATCAACTTACTGGGACATGGCAAAATTGAGAGATTTTCAGCTTTACGTTCTCATCAAGTGTCTGTAAACAGATTGATCAAGCTCATAATCTGTAGTTCGCAGAACTTACAATCACTACAAGCGTACATGTGTTTGTGTGTGTGTGTGTGAGAGAGAGTTACCGATGTGCTGCGACAAGCTAAGATATTTGGTGTCAAACCTAAGCTTCTCAGCCCCCGAACACTGTGTTGAGTTGGTTTTGTTTTCTGCAAAGCGCAAATTCACGGACTTTTATAATTTGTTCGTATAGGCTACGAAGATCCACTTAGAGAATCATCTTATTTCCACTTAGCATATACAAAGAGAATATTTTAAGCAGCTCACCTGTTCACCAACAGCACTTAAAACAGGCACAAGGCTGACATGAATCAAGCAGAAGTTGCCAGCGCCTGGAAAACGAGCATCAAATAGAAGAAGCTGACTGATTAGAAGAAGTAAATGCAAGAAGAGCCTTAAACTGCATCATGTAAAGTTACATAGGTAGTGGTCTTACCCACTCGATATGAAAACTGCCCTAGAGCCTCAGTAAATGGCATGGACTCGATGTCTCCTGCGCACAGGAAAGTTTCTAGTGACAGAGAAAAAATGAAGAACAGCTCAAGACCCATTCATCAAGAAAGCTACTTTTAATGTACCTATAGTTCCACCCAATTCAATAACACAAACATCAGCGGGACCAGGCTGCCCGTCAACTGGTATCATTGCTACGCGTTCAATCCACTCTTGAATGGCATCTGTGATGTGAGGGACAACCTGCAGTTAGCAAAAACACACAAAGGAGATGAACTATACATGTAAAACTTACGGTAAGCTACATGACAATGTAAGAGATAAATTCAGGTAGAGAAAAACCTGCACAGTTTTTCCCAGATAATCTCCCCTTCTTTCTCTGTCAATAACAGCCTGCAATTTAGCAGGACAAAGAAGCAGCTACTTCAGTAACAAGGTGTCAGCTACTTTTAATGATCTTTTTCTCCAGTAAATTTGTGTTACCCGCATAGAAACATGAAGTTTTTTAAACCACTTGCCTGATAAATCTTTCCGGTAGTGATATTATTATCGCGTGTCAACTTGATATCTAGAAACCGCTCATAGTTTCCAAGGTCCAGGTCCACCTTCGCAACAAGATAAACAAGTCATTTCTTTTAGTCTAGATCAATTTCCTATCTTTCATAGAAGTCAACAGTCTGATTTCCTCTTTTCACTGAAATAACACACTCCAGCTATTATCCTTTTACTTTCACTCATAAAGAGCAAGAAATGTATTGGTAATTAGTCTACAGATTTGATGGATATTCTAGCATGATCGTAATTGGTAACCAGAAACAGAATAGAGCGGTATGAGAATCACCCATCAGTAATTTTAGACAGATTCCATAAACTTTACTGCCGTAGAATCCAATTCAGAAGTCAGATGGAAGCCAATCTTTTGAATCATAGGGAATTCCTCTCAAGGATGTGAAGTCCAGGATATTTATCTACATGCTTAGCATGCATAAGCTGCTATTTTTATTTTGCTTTCTCAAAGACCCCCTCAAGAAATCTTGAGAACATGAAAAAAAATGAAGGAAAACTGTCTACCTCTCCACCATCATCTAAGACATAGACTTCTCCATGCTCAAAAGGTGACATTGTTCCGGCATCAGTGTTTAAGTACGGATCTGAATTGACAAATGAAATAAAGCAAAAAAAATACAAGAAATTGTTAGCATGAACAGCAATGTTAAGTATCCAAAAGTAGAGAAAATAGCGACAGCTTCTGATCCTAATTGAGACATAATAATTATTTTAATGTACAATGGACAAGAAATCAAGAAGACTGCATCAAAAAATCATAAAGTAGTGCAAAGCAAAAAATCTTGAGAACAAGAAACTGTCAGTGGAGTTTTAACCAAACTCAACATAGGCCCATTTCCAGAAATCAAAGAAATGAAAATGAAAAAGAAGAAACAAATCTATACATGCTTGTCTTTTTTACCAAATATTTAACTTTATAACCCAAAAAGTAGGTGAAAATGAGATACAAGTCCTGAGGAGGAAAAAATACTTCTTAATGATTTATTTTCAGAAGCAAATTGGTGAAAAGGAACAAAAAAAGCAGGATTTGTGTATAGTGAACCTGAGATTTGGTTGGAGTGAAGAAACAAAAAAGGGTGTAGCTGTTCTTTTTTTTTCCCCTTTTTTCTTAGTAATAGAAAACTTAAAAACATTGAAAAGAAAACGAAATAGAAAGATAGAAAGGTGCAGCAGAACAGAACAGAACAGACCAATCTTGATGGAAGTAACACGAAGTCCACAGGCCTTAAGAAGCACACCAATACTACTTGCCGTCACTCCTTTCCCAAGTCCACTCACTACTCCTCCGGTCACCAACACGTACTTCATTTTCTTTGCTCCTCCTCCTTTGTTCATCTTCAACAGCACCTTATATTTTTTTTCCATTTTTCACAGAAAATGAGATAAGCAAAAGACAGAACAAGCTAGCTAACAAAAAATAAGCAAAGAGAAGAAGCACTCTTACAGAAAGAGAAGAAGAAGAAGAAGAAGGACGGTAAAAGACCTTTGTTAAAAGTTTCTGTGAACTTAAACCACCTAAAGAAGAAGAAGAAAGAAAATGTTTAATATTAATTGCAATTCAGGGTCTTCTGCGGTGAGCAGGAGACAACCCTCTCACTAGAGAAGTTTGGCAAAAAATTGCTTGAAAACTGAAACTGGGTTCGGATTCTGGAAACTCTAGCTAGGCTAAAGCTAGCTGGTAACAAAATGTATGAAGGAACAGAGAAAAGTGGGGACTGATGAGGAAGGTAGATAAAAGAGATTGAATGGAATGAGATTGATTAGCATTGGCGGCTTTTTATATGCATTAGGCAGGTGGTCACTCCCTGCCTCTTTCTACTCTTAACTAAAATTCAATATACGAAAAAAATGTCTCCTTTTTTTTTTTTTTTCCCTATTATAAGGTATCTTTGAATTAACTTGTCGTAATTGAAATCAATTTTTTTTTTTACACCAATTTAATGTATACAAATATTTAATAAATTTTTTAAAATATTTATCCTAAAATTTGAATCCAAGATGTCTCTTTCATTTTTTAACTGTGTGAGTCTGTCTCTTTTTTTTTAAAAAAAAAAAAAACTATGTAATATAAAAAATGGAAAAATTTGTCTTGTTTCAGGTATTACAGGGGGCCTTCGTTACCACCGTCTTCAGCTATGACCTTTCGCCTTAATTTTAAAATCAAATCAACAATAACCTTAGTGAGAGTTTCATTATTTACTAATTCTGTAATTTTCAAATGGAGTGAAATTTGGTTCTTCTAGTTTTCAAAACCAAATCAAGTGATCTCACCAGTTTAATAGCACCGGCAAGAAATCTAAAACAAGCACTGAGTTTGGAAGCAGAACGAGGAGGGAGAAAAAATGGGACGAAAGAAAGTGGAATAAAAGAAATTCTAAGGTTATTTTTTTTTTTTCCTTCTTTTCTCTCCGAGGAAGGAAAATGGAGAGGGAAATTTTTTTAAAAGTTGTAATTATTAAAGGGCCATCTCACCTAAAAGCTTAAGTCGATAGGTAAGATCCTAAAATATAATTTATACTTAGTCTCTAACACGACTTCTCAAGTGAAAGGCTCAACATTTGAGGCATAAAACTTATACAGTGTCTACATCGCTTGTGCTTAATACTTGAGAAATTGGGGATGGTGAGATTTGAACTCGGGACCTCAAGATCAACCAAGCTCGATACTATATTAAAGGACCATCTCACCTAAAAGCTTAAGCTAATAGGTCGAACCCTAGAATATAATTTATACTAGTCTCTAACAAGTAACGTTGGTAATATAGCCCTTAATTTAAAATTAAGAAGTAGTCTTCATATAAAATAGTTTTTTTAGTAGTTTTCTTTTCATTTTTCCTTCAAACTTGGAAGAATCGTGATTATGATCCACATATATTGCATATTTTCTCTTTATTTTTTCTCCTAGTTCTCAAAAAAATATTATTTTATTTTTAAAAAATTGCTTTTATTTTTATTTATATCGGTCCTAAAATGATTGTATTGTCAAAATTTTTAAATATTATATTTTTCTCAACTACTTCTAATCTATATTTTTTATTAATAAAAAAGTTAATGATTTGCAGGAAGAGTATGTTAGGAAAAAAAAACCTATAATTAATGTTTTTTTATAGACTTCGTAAAAAATGGGAAAAAGACTAACACTGTAGGACAGTTAATTGTGGAAATGGATTTGGATGTTAATTCCTCACTCCTAATTATGTGTCTACTGCTCTCTACCATTGCGTGAAATCGACGTTAACTCTTGACAGAGCCAGCTACATGCATCATAAAATGGCTCTCTCTTTCTGAAAAATATAACTTATGAATTGGATTTTGTGTTTTTCTCTTCCTTTTTTTTTTTTTTTTTTTGTTTTTCACTCCTTTCTCGCTCTCCGGACCTGAAGGTAGCGTAGGCATCCGTACGGACACTTGACTGCTATCTTCTTCTTTTTCTTCTTAAATAAAATTTTCTATTCATTAAAAATAAATATTTTATTATAAAAAATGAATTCATGATAAATATATGAAACATATTAAAACAACATTTATTTAATACAAATAATTTTTAATGTTAAATTAAATTTTTTAATTAGAAATTTAAAATTATGTAATCGGCCACCAACAATCTTACAAATTTATTTAATCATATCATTTGAAAAAAAAATTATTATCATAAATTTTATAAATATTTTGTTTCCACAATGGATAAAATGATTGCATTTCGTTTTATGTCAATCTACTAATAATTGATTGATTTTTTTTTTTATAACAAATACTCGACTGCTAACTTTTCCATCTTATCGAGCTCACTTATCTTGACTAGAGCAAACATCGCAATTAACGGTTAGGTAACTTTGATCTTTCTTCCAAGAAAAACAGGTAAATTTGATTTGACGTTTAGAAGCCAACGACCTTTTTAGTCGCTAACTGTTAAGGTTTTCAGTAGAGATGGTCCCTGAGTATAACTGCACATGAGAACCGCATTTTGAGATATTAAAAAAAAAATGGTACATAATTCATATTTTTTAAAATTTTCATACTCCTTGGATCCTACGTATTTAATCATCTGAAGACCAGCACCGCTGATGCACATGCGTGCAATATTTGTTTTATACATTGAGATGCCAATTCAATATCATTCATTGTCACCAATACTTCTTCTTTAAGAGGATTCAAAATTTAGGAGTTAGAGAGAATTTTTTTTTTTTTTTTAATGAATGCACCTTTATATAACCAAAAGATTGGTCTGGATCTCAATATTTTTTTTGTGAATATATCATGAATTATAAAACTTGATGTGTATGACCCTCAAAACTCCATATGAAAATAAAATCTTCAATCTTTTAGTGGCGATAAAAAAGATGATAGAATGAGAGAAATTTTATAATAGTCAAGAAGTAACTATTGTATATTTCATGAGTTCACCTTTCAAAAAAAAAAAAAAAAGACTCAAAGGAAAAGAAAATTTAAAAAAATATTAAACCAACGTAAAATCATATCTAGATCCATTATCAAAGAATTTGTAGTTCGATGATAGTGGTCTGTTGCAATAAGAGATCATAAGTTCAAATTTTAATAGACTAAAAAAGAAATAAGAGAGAGAAGATTTTAAAAAAAAATTAAACCAACATGAAATCATATCTGTACCCATTATCAAAGAATTTGTAATCCGATGATAGTGGTCCGTTGTAACAAGAGATCACAAGTTTAAATCTTAATAGATTAATTCCGTTAAAAGTTTTGAATGTGTAATTTTTTTTAAAAAAAAAATTGAAACCATCGAAAATGATAAGAAAATTTAATTGAATGATTTTTTTTTTAATAGTTAGAAGAAATACTCTTAATTTATTAGCGAGCCATATGTAATAATGGTTGAACGATGCGTTCTCTCAATGCTTCAAATAAAGGTAAATAACTTTAAATTCCCACGAGGCTTCAACTTGGGGCCGCCGGGGAGAAATTTAAACTTTTAGGAAATGGGTTCAGACCAGAAATTACTTTCTCATTAGTAGGTATTAGCAGCAGTGTTTCTTTTTGGATATAGGCAAAAAAGTTAATCCCTTTAAGATGATGAAAGCATGTTAATAACGTAGATAAAGCAAGGAGGTTTAATTCTCATTAATTTGATCCCGTGGGACAGTGTACTTCGATTCAACATCAGAAAACCAGAAAATGGGGGGACCAAAAGCAAAGGAGAGGATGGCTGAAACAATGGGAGGTAGTCCAGGACCCAGTTCTCTCATCTTATGCATAAATATGCAGTCCGAATAAAAATTGATGGGATCCATACAACTACTTAATTGCTAATTATCCCTCTTGACCACGTGGCCATTGTACCCTCTTTTATGCCAATGCTCCTTTGCCTTTTTGGTGCCGTATGGTCCACCACTCCACCAAGGTTCAAGCATTGGTACCTACAACACTGTGCCTTGCTTAATGATCTGTCTAACCCCCAAATTATAAGTCCGTTCGGCCGGCGGCTAACCGCAGCGACTCTGCCTTCTTCTTATCCTTGTTTAACTATTTTACCTTTTTCTTGCTGGAAACACTTTATGATGGGATCGGTTGACCTTTAAAACTAATCTAACCATGCTGTAAAGAAACGGTCTGAAAATTCTCTCATTACATTGAACTCTCCAATTAATTAATAATATAATTCTATAGTTATTTTTCTTATTTTTATCTAGATGCACTGTGAACTGATGAACGTGAGAGTCCAAATCAAATTCTCACCCTTTTCAGTAAGCGTCTATTAGGGTAATGTGGCGCAAATGCTTTTTGAAAAATATATTTGAACTTGGGTGTTTTGGATTTTTTTTTTTAAAAAAAAGAGAGAGTCAAGTTTGAACAAAAATAAAAAAATCAGGAAGGTTCAGATTCGTTCCTATTAAATGTAATGTGATATGATACTTGGTATAACATAATACTAGAAGCAAAATTGGCGCTTAATTTATTTTTTGGGTTTTTTTAATCCAGTATGTCGCTTTATATGAGAGATATTATTAATTATTTTCAAAACGAAAATGATAAATTTTATTTAAAAAAAATAATTTTAGAATTTGAATTATGTATATTGATAAATAAAAAAAAAAAGTTTAAAAACCAGTTTGTTTGATACTGAAACGCACGTGAATTGATATCTCAATCAGAGGAGTCCGTGAATTCTAGCAATGTAAGAATCGTGATAGTTTCACAAAATTGGAAAGCTCGTTTTGGACAAAATAAATTAATAAAATGAAAAAAACGAAAAGTATCCTGGCAATATATAAAATGGATGGAGAGTCTTTGTGCTGGTGTGGAAGCAAAGGATATTCCAAGAAAACAAGATACACTCAAATAAAGCATCTGTCCTTGATCGGTGCCCTTTCCGAAAGTCCTTGAAAAGCG